TCTGGCATATCATTCCCAGTTAAGATGATATCATCAACATATACAAGAAGAGCAGTAAAGGATTTGTTATGTTGCTTAGTAAATAGGGAGTAATCACAGTGTGATTTTTTTATATCCTAAGCTCTCTAATGTGGTTGCAAGCTTAGCAAACCACTGTCAGCTAGCTTGCTTGCAAACCACTGTCAGCTAGTTAACTTGCAAACTTTATTTTTGTCTACAGGATTAATGGGGAGACCAGGTGGTAATTTCATGTAGACCTCTTCATTGAGGTCTCCATGGAGGAAAGCAGTATTAACATCTAGCTGTTCTAAATGCCATTTGTGTATAGCTGCTAGGGCTAGAATGATTCTTACAGTTGTCATTTTAACCACATGGGAAAACGTGTCCAAATAATCAACTCCAGGTGTTTGTGTGTAGCCTTTGGCTACTAACCTGGCTTTGTATTTATCAATGGAACCATCCCGTTTGAATTTTAAACGAAAGACCCATTTGTTGCCAATGATAGGGACATTGGGAGGTGGTTCAATAAGTACCCAAGTTTTGGTTTTTTCTAGTGAAGCAAAATCAGAATTGACTGCCTGTAACCATTCATTTGATTGTGCAGCTTCTTTGTATATTCTAGGTTCTCTGACGTGTGTGACGGCTAATGCAAACTTCTTATGTGTTGTACTAAGAGAGCTGTATGAAAGCATTGCCTGAATTGGATATCTAGGTTTGGAAGATAAAGTTTCCTGGCTTACTAGGTTACATTTGTAATCCTTGAGTTTAGCTGGCTTTGTAATTTGCCTAGTTGATCTCCTTAATTGTGGAATATCAGTAGGGGAAACTGTAGAAGAGGGTTGATGCAAGTATTTTGTTGAAGACAGTTCAGGAGAGGATTGTGGTATAGAAACTAATGGGGGAACAGCTGACTGAGACGACTCAGCAGTGAACTCAGTGTGAACTTTAATGAAATCTGTCTGAAGAGACTGATGGAAAAACTGGTAATGGAAGTGTACAGTCTTATTTTTTATTCAGATGCTGAAATGAAAAGATTGTTTCATGGAATGAAACATCTCTGGATATGAGAATATTGTGAGTGGTTAAACTGTATAATCTGAAACCTTTTGTTCCATGGGGATGACCCAAGAAAACACAGGATCGAGCCCTAGGATCAAGCTTATTCGAGTGGTTTGGATAGTAGCTGCATAAGTGAGGCCGCCAAAGACTTTAAGATGATTGAGACATGGTGACACACCATGTAACTTCTCATAAGGAGTAGAGCTCTGAAGAAGACAGAAGGAGTTCTGTTAATAAGATGGACTGCATGCATTGCAGCAAAAGGCCAGAATGTGAGGGTAATGAAGCTTGAAAAAGTAGAGCACGAGTGATAGCTAAAATGTGCTAATGTTTTCTTTCTACTATACCATTCTGTTTTGAAGTATAAACTCAAGTGGTTTGATGGATAATGCCTTTTGATCTATAGAATTCCGGAATGTGGAACTCATGACCATTATCTGTGCGAATGGTTTTAATTTTAGCTTTAAACTGAGTTTCTATGAAGGTAAAGAAGTTAATGCGAGTAGGATGAGCCTCTGACTTGTGTTCCATGGTAAAAACCCATCTATGACGGGTAAAGTCATCCAAAATAGTAAGAAAGTAGGCATGACCTTGAAAAGAAAGAACAGGGGCATTACCCCAGATATCAAAATGTATTAGATAAAGAGGAGTTGTAGTTTGACTTGTACTAGTTGGAAAGGGAAGTCTCTTCTGTTTTGCCATAGGACAAACAGTACAATGAAAATCAAAAATCGAAGAGATATTGCTATCTATGGATCGAAAATGTGAAATTTTACATGCTGGAACATGGCCAAGTCGATAATGCCAGATGTCTATACTTGGTTTGGAAGAAGAGTAAGCTATTCTGGAAGGGTAAGCTGGTTTGGTGTTGAGCTGAAGATTATGTTGAAGTTGTTTGGTCTGAGATGGAGGATGGAGTAAGTAAAGACCATCAACCAAACTAGCTGTTCCAATCATTGTCAAACTGGGGTAAGCTTGTATGAAGCACACGGAGTAGTGAAACCATAAGCAAATGGTTGTGCTTCTAACCAGTTTACTCACAGAAAATAGATTGAAGCTAAAAGAAGGAACTAACAGAACACCAGTCGAGGTGAGATGTTCTGAGTATTGAACAACACCTATGGCAGTGACAGCTACTTTACTACCATTAGGCATGTGAACATAGACATTGGAAACAGGCTTAGATTGTAAAAAATAAGCAGAAGAGCATATAATATGATCTGTAGCCACGGTAGTTAGCTAACTGATCCCACGGTGCTCTTTGCTTAGAATAGTACCGAGAGACGCTCATGGTACCTTATTTTAGATTGAAGATGGCTTCTTGAAGATCAGTGATGCTGAAAGAATCTCCTCGCGAGAATTGCTCACGCAGCTCAGTCCAGGCGCCAATGGTTGTAGTCACATACAAGATACTCTCAGCGATGGTTGGATTGACAGAACGCTGAATCCAGCTGAGGAGCAGTTTGTTGTTGCGATTCTAAGGCTCGAGAAGTGGAGAATCGTCAATGGCTGCGGGATTTTGCCATTGAGGAACCCTAACTTGTTCTTGCCATCGATAACCAAAATCATCGATCTTTCCCAGCTGGAGAAGTTGTTCTCGTTGAGCGGCTGGCATTGGCCCCAATTCTCCGATGGATGGATGAAGAATGGAGAAGCAAGATCTGAGATCGGAATGCCTTTGTACAAAATCACACCAGAAGCGTTCTGGCGACCTCCAGTGTGAGGATTTACGGCTTCGTCGCCCTAAGAAAAAGAATCGTGAATCACCATTGGAGGACAAACTCAAGAACATAAGTAGAAGGAGAGATGCGGAAGCGAGAAAGAGAGACGGAAAATGTCTCAGAAGAGCTCTGATACCATGTCAGATTTCTGATTAATGCTTCTTGTTTGATTGAATGAATGAGAATCAACGTTCATTATCCAACTAGAGTTGCTGGTTTTATACTCTGATTTACAGAGGAGGAGAAATCTATTACGGGTCCTAACTAACCTAACTAAATTACATTACAGTACCTATCCTATTTGCATTCTACCTACATAAACTTATTCCTATTAAAAATTTGATACATTGTATCTCTAATAAGTAATGAGACGGGCATGTGTTGCTATTATGCGTGGTGTCAACTATTTAGTTCGTAATTCTTATGCACTAACTAGTTGGGGGGGGGGGGGGATCTTGTTTACACCATAAAATTTGTCTTGTACCACATTGGTGAGTTACAAGATAATTAATGAGTTTATAAGGTCACACCCATTATAACAATGAATGTTGTTTAAGTTGGGCCTTATGGAGAGGGTCATGTCCGTCTAAAATCTAGAGGCACATGCCGCCTCAACGAAGAGGGCCATGTCCATCTAGAAATCGAGAGGCATGTGTCGCTTCAACCAGAAGGGCCATGTTCATCTAGGATTTAGAAGCGCATGTCATCTCAAAGAAGACCCCCGGTACAATCAAAAATATTCTTAAGTCTCGAGAAGGATATGCCCCTTCACGAAGTGGTCATGCCGCCTCACGAGTCACAACCAAGACCGAATGAATGAAAAATAAACTAATTCTGGAAGAGGTACACGCCGCTTCAAGAAGAAGCACGTGCCACTTCAACAAAGAGGGCCACGTCTGTCTAGAATCGAAGCGGCCATGCCGCCTCACGACCAAGACCGAATGATTGAAAAATATTCTAGGTCTGAGAAGGCCATGTCGCCTCACGAGAAGGGCCATGTGGATGATTAAGAGGTCCATGGCCGTGTCATATGTGATGGCCATGGACACGAGAGAGGACCTGGGCACGATTGAAAAATACTTAATATGAGAAGGCCATGCCATCTAACGGAAAGGGCCACAAACATGAATGAGAAGTCCATGGCCGTGAATGAAGAGGCAATGCCGCCTCCTGATCTAAACCAAACAACCCAAAATATACTAAGTTTGGGAAGGACATGCCACTTCACTAGAGGGACCATGTGCATGATTGAAAGGTCCTTGCCGCCTCATGAGAGAGGCCATGGACACGAATGAGAAGAGCGTGGTGGTGGAGCATTATGCCACTAGTGACTAAGTCCATGGCCATGAGGCAAGAGGCCCACGACCCTTTTGCGACACACCACATGCTCATCAAAATACTAGTGTGACACGAGAGCTGGAACAAGACCAAGTGAGGCAAGCTATACTCCAAGATTCAACTGACGGTTTCCAAGAAAGTGACGGTTTTTAAGAGGGGTACCTAGGAAGTTGAGAGATGAACTGCCACGCATACCATGTTCAAGGAACACGCCAGACACGTCCGAAGAAGTAGGGAGTGGTTTCTTGTTAGGAGTTATCCAAGAGGCAGTTTTCTGTGGCGGTTACCTCCTCATGACTATAAGTAGGAAGAGGGGTCGACAGAGACGGGGGGTTCCACAACCAACCATTTGACACCCAATGTCAAACTTTATCCTTTTCTCTGCAATGCAGTCTTAGTCGTAGTTGGAGCTCTCGTTGAACTTCCATAGCAGTAGAAGTAATTTAATTTAGTTTCTTTCCCAAAAATTCCATCAATCAAACACCCTCATTCAAACTTTGTTTGAAGAGGTTTGAGTCGTGTCTTAGAAATTGTTGTATAAAGAAGTTAAGGTGCATTCAATTTATTTCAACGCAAATTTTCTCGCAGGAAAACACAGGAAGAACTTGGGAATGCAAATATGGACCTTATCCATTTTTAGTATTTTTCTTCCCTCCGGTCCATCTACTTTTGGCTCTCCGAATTTGGAGAAGTGGAAGAAAAAAATGGGTATTGGCTACCCCGATGGGTGCATAGATGTATAATAATGTTACTGATGGAGTGGGCGGTCTCCAGTGCAATACGAAGCCACATGCAGCGCATTTAAAACCCAGGCCACGTGTATTCTTTCATAGACTCGTAGTCATGGTCCATGAAAGCGTACCGGAGATCGTACCCGAAAAATCAGCGGTAGGATATTTTATGACAAAATCGTGATTTAATCATAGTTCAACCGTTATACCGGTAAATACCGTATATCGGTTTAGCCTCCGATACATGTATTTCGTGGTTGAACCGCCATTACGGTTTCATGGACACTCCTCATAGTACGGCGAACCGTGACCCTAGCACAAGACTCCTAAACAAGGAGACGGCAAGTCCAGTTACAATAGAGTCACAGTGGATCCGTCATTCATCAACTTTGACAAACAGCATTGGCGAAATAACGCTCGTGCCGTTAACATCTATGTCGAGTTTTCCTACCCCTATCAAACTGAACTCAGTTCCTGAAACATCCGTCCAGGACCAAAAACAAGAGAACTAAAAGTTGAAAGGAGATTGGGGAGAAGGGACAGTCCTGTTTCAGATATTTTACAGGTCGACATGGGGGGAGATGGAAAGGAATATCAGCTAACTGCTTCCAACGAATGCAATGAATGGGAAGAACTGAACAAGAACAAACAATCGTGTGTGGAATTCCGACGGAAGTGCAGCACAGAAAACTCAGCTACATTCCTTCTTCTCGTGCGTGCAGTGAGTACATCATACCCTTATCAATTGCCTTTTGAGAAATTAAACTGCATTTCGATCGGCTATGTACCTGGCCGTACAATGTGATCTCCGTCATTCACTTAAGCGGCAGTTGCGCAGATAGGGATGATCGTACTTAATGTACTTGGTCCAATATGGCCTGTACTTTGTCATGGCCAACTCCAGCCATGGCTTCATATTGCCATTATAGTGAATCACCGCAGCACGATCGATCTCCGCTTTATCAACGCTGGGATTATAACCGAGACCAAGGACATGCCATGACTTCTCAAGTGGGTGCGTCAATCCATAGAATGTTATCAACCCTGGTGGCAGCGTCCCAAGCTTCCAAAGTACCCTATCCTCATTCTGTTACAACACCAAGGCGGCAGTATTATTATCATTGAAATAAATAAAAACAAGCAGAAATTCGCAATAATAAAAAACACAACATCGAACAATATTCTGATTAATTATAAGAGTCAACGACAGCCATGAATTTCATCAAATCGTTACCAAGACTCACCATGTTTTGCCACTTGTGATATATACCAGTGATATCCTTCCTCTTCCACACTTCAAGATCAAACATGTTCATACCGTATGCCCATCCACAAGCATTGGGATCAAAGTTTCTGGCAATGTGAGGATTTGAAAAGTTGAGGTACTTGTCAAACCGGTGAAAGCTTTCGCCGCATGTTTCAACCGCACCATTCACTTTTCCATCCAGATCCACGGCCCATAGGCCGGTCAGATCTTTTTGGACAACAATGTCATCATCAAGAAATAGTATCTTGTTCAACTTGGGATAAACCTCTGGCAGATAAAACCTTAGGTGATTTAGCATTGAGAGATACTTGGGATTCCGATACTTCAGATTCGAAGCACTTGAAGAGAGAGATGTGGGGTGGTTTGCCTTGAAGTAATACTCCTTCATTGCAGCAGACTCCAACTGACGGAGAACCGGGCAGTAGGATGAGTTAAGCCACTTGAATTCATCTACATTCTCAACGTGGATAGTGGCCTTTCCAGGGGGGTTCAATAAAAACCACATATTCATTGCTCCAAAATTTAGTTTATCTGTAACCAGGTGGAATACATGTTTTGAAGGGTCCTGAAATAATATAGGAACAACCAAGCGGTTAGCATATAGGTAGCAAGTTTTTTAAAATCAAGGAAAATACAGCAACCCAAGAAAAAAGTAAACGACACCTTTGCATTCACGATAGTTGAGTTAACAACAACTGAAGCTGCCAAGACATTATCGGAGAAGAGGGCATAGTGGTATAAACTTGGATTTTCCAGATTCTCGTTGCGTGGGAACTTTCTCTTCTCTAGAGGAAGGAGATAGTAGTCTATTGTTAGGCGCATAGACAAGCAATGAATTCCATTAGGAACTGTCTTCGCAGCCAATTGACTCAAGAATGTGCTTTGCTTTTTCAAGCTCCTGACTTGCTCATCGGCTGTCTGGAGCATTGCTCTGAGCTTCCCAGTGACCATTTTACAGTCATATAGCTGTTCCCTTGATTTGGACAAAACTTGCCCCATGGCTTTAATTTTCTCCGGAGCACTACAAGAAATAGTATGGCATTAGTCCCACCAATAAATTAGCCATCCATCTTATCAAAAGTGAGGCAACTGGCATAATGGAAAAGAAGAGATACTGGATTAAACCCAACCACAGCCACATTCCTCACTGTGGCAATACCTTTGATGTAGTTCAGAGTCAGCTGTTGCGTCTCCTACGAGCCGGTGACTCTCTTTAAGCCGAGCTTGTAGCTCTTGCTGAAAATCAGTCTTGTTTTTCATCTTTGCGATACTTAAGTATACCCTTGCCATTATCATCTGATCTCGTATTAAGCGTACAGTAGAATCAACATTCTCAGTCTCGATCTCTTTTCTCCAAATGTTGTATTTTCCAAGAACAGCAGAGTCAACTGATTTAGAGCGTTCAATAGCAGCATTTTCAAATTTTATAGTTGTTTCATCTCCTTGGCGCATCAACTCCGCTGCACGTTTGTAACGTCTTTTTTCTCTTAGTTGCTGCATGATTAACAAAATTCAAATCTGAGGAAGCTAATACGCAATATCAGATTGGCTCATGCAACCCGTAGCAACAACATGAACAGTAGATAATAACTGATACATAAAATCTATGGAAAGAACTATAAATACCCTTCGAGCAAATTTTTCAGGTGATTCAATAAATGGAGCCTGATCATCTGGACAAGGAAAATAAATAAGAACCAGTCAGCCACGAAACTTGGAACAAACAGCAAATATTAGCTCACAGTTTCTACAAGCATCACCAGACAACTTCGTACCTTTTCTGGTCGGAACTTCTTGCTTGACAATGCTAGCTGGCTGCTTTGACTTTAACTGAAATAATGCCAACCCGACAGAGGGGGGATCAGTGGCATAATCTGTACATAAAATGCAACTTAAAGTACTGATGCAATGAAATCAAATACAGAGAAACATAGTGATACTAACCTCATAAGAGGATAAATGGTCAGCTGAAACCTCAGCTCCAACAAGTTTCCATGAAGCAGACAGATTGCTTCTTCTAAAAGCATCGAGACTAAAAGGCCCCAAATCAGCGGTATTAGCTGTGATCACATCAATGACCTACATGTCCAATTGCACCATTTTAGGAATGACCACAAAGACTAAACCTATGCATTATAATTATGGTATTATCAATTGTACAGTTGAAATTACACATTTTTCCCCTGACAAGTAGATTAACTACAGTTTACACTTACATCCTTAGTGAAAAGCGATCTAACGTGTTGCAATGCCAACCGTTCTCTCCAATCCAAATCCTGGACCAATCAACAAACTTCTATCTTATGGGATAAACAGAATGAAGCTACCGAACAAGCACAAAACTGCAAAAGTACAGGTTTTATACAAATGACAGATGTTTAGAAGCATTACCTGGTCACTGGAGCCATTCGGAAGACTGGCTTCGCCTGCACAGGTAACACTAGTCACTCTAAATTCCAACACCAACTCACACAGAGACAATATATACTTTCTAGAGATCAGGAGATGCATTTACGATACCAGCTCATCGGAATAAAATTGTATACATTCATCTAAAATCAGTGTGCCCTAGAACAATGCACAATAACGACGATGAGGACAATGAACAACAAAAACTGAAAAGGCAACTAGAGACAAGACCAGGACAATATCATGTACTCTGGATGCACTGATGCAACTGTTATCTGACAATGATTGTTTTTTAGAAAGAAAAGCATGCAAGTTAAGATTCAAACCAAACCATCATAATTCCCAAGATGTGCACCCTGAAAAACTAATAGCTCGTAAGACCATGCAATCCTTTAACCACTTGAATAAGGTACAATGTCCCATCAGGTAGCTAATGAACTAGGCAAAAGCTACTCAACCCTCGCCTTCACCATTCAATGTCGAGGTCTGATGTAAGGCTATCGTACAATCAACCTTGCATTATATGACGCACGAAGCTGATATATCAAGTCCATTAAAACTTAAAAGATTCCAACCAAAATAAGCATTCAGCTACGATATGGCAGATAACTCAACGCAGCCAGAAAATTGACACAGAGTTGAGGTTAGCAGGAATGCGATGACCATAGTGGAATAAACAAAAGTGAGATATCTTATCGAGAAAATTGGTTCTAAAATTTCGGCCTCAAACTACAGCGAGGCCAGTCGGCGAAAACAAAAACCGATCAAATTCAACAAAAAATGGCAAAAAGAAGCAATGAGATCAAGGGAGAAACCAAACCAATAGGAGCGCCGGTGCGGAGCCACGGACCAATGGAGAACATTAGCGCCACCAAGAACAAGAAGAAGAATAAAGCAACCGTAATCGGCAATCGAGATCCACCACCGGGGCCCCGGTTGTTCCGACTGGCGGACATTCCCCTCTTAAGCGCCATTGCTTACTGAAACCTAGAATTGAGACCGGATCAAAACGCAGCAAAAGAAAATGCCGGAAGGAGAGAAGCCGAGAGGGAGGAGGAAGGGTACCGAGGCCCGTCAATCGTGAGGAGAGATCTAGCGAAAATGGGGAGTCGGAAGTTGGATCGACTTAAGTTTTAAGAGAGTCCATTAGGGAGGGAGGGAGCACCCCAGAAGCCGAAGTAACGACGGAGGCTGCTGCAACGGCGGAAGAGCAAATTGTGCTCGAGTGGATGGGCTGTGGAGCTTCTTTGGACTTGACAATATTGCTCCCCCCAGCTGCAATGGTAGTCGAACAGCGATCACAATCGTAAGAAAGCAGGAAAGGTAAGGAAACGAGAAGGGGCGCTCTTTTTCTTCCTCTCCTACTAGTCTACTACACAGTTCTACACTTGGTATGCTCCCCTTCCTTCGCCAGTCGCTCTTGCTCTCTCCAGCAGAAACCGATAAACTGTTGCTTTGCCTGCCTTAATTGCTCGCCTCTAGTCCGTGCTTGGGGTTGGGCGAAATCATTTGGGATTTCAATCAATCGCTTCTACACTTGTTGTAATATCTAGAATTTTTTTCCAACCAACATATTGTCCGTTTTGGGCTTCAACCTTCACGGTTTTTATATTTGGACTGCAATTCAAGGTGACTTCCTATAAGGTCACTCATCTTTGTTGTACTCCACACTGAGCACGTTTAACTTTGTCGATGTGGGATTTGCCTAAGGTGACATACACCCCCCTTAGGACTCAACATCCTCATTGAGGTTTGCCCCACCATCGTTCAAGAGGGACGCGGAGAGACTCTGATACCACTTGTAACATCCCCAACCTTTTCCCGACGAGGATATTGTCCGCTTTGGGCCTCAACTCTCACGGTTTTTAGACTTGGGGTGCAATTCAAGGTGACTTCCCATAATGTCACTCATCCTTGTTGTACTCCATACTGAGCACGTTCAACTTTGGAGTTCGCACAAGAACTCCTCCATTTCACCCCAAAACGCGTCTTGTCACCTGACGAATATGCCTATGTTTGTCCCGACTTTTAGAAGTGCTTGTCGGCTTCAAAAGCTGTAGCAGGGCCAAACACCTCTAAAACCCCGGCTTTTGAAAAGCCGAAAAGCGCTTTTGAATAACATAAAATCAGAAACTCCGATTTGAAGATTCTACGAAAAGCACTTCTAATAATTTTACAGCCAAATAGTCAACTGCTTTTTTTGAAAAGTACTTATCTAAAAGCTCCAGCCAGAAGTTGCTTCTGCAAAAGTTACAGCAGGGCCAAACTAAACTAATTTATCCGATTTGAGTCTCGACCCTCACGGTTTTCGACTTGTGGTGCAATTCAATGTGACTTCCCATAAGGTCACCCATCATTGTACTCCATACTAAGCTCATTTAACTTCGGAGTTCTCACAAGAACTTATCATTTTCACCGGAAAACGCATCTTGTCAGTTAAGGTCGGTTTCTTACTTATGAACCATAGATCTCTCTCGTACTTTGTCGATGTGGGATTTGTCTAAGGTGTTACATACACCCCCTCCCCCCTGGGACTCAACGTCCTCGTTGAGGTTTACCCCACCATCGTTCAAGAGGGATGCAGAGAGGCTTTGATACCACTTGTAACATCCTGAACCTTTTCCGGACGAAGATATTGTTCGCTTTAAGCCTCGACCCTCACGGTTTTCGACTTGGGGTGCAATTCAAGGTGACTTCCCATAAGGTCACTCATCCTTGTTGTACTCTACACTAAGCACGTTTAACTTTGGAGTTCGCACAAGAACTCCTCAATTTCATCCCAAAACGCGTCTTGTCAGTTAAGGTCGGTTTCTTACTTATGAACCATGGATCTCTCCCGTGCTTTGTCGATGTGGGATTTGCCTAAGGTGTTACAATTGTTGTTTTTTTTTTTTTTTCTGAATGGGGGAGTGAGAGGTTTTTTTACATCGAGAACCTTTTTCCCGACGAATATGCCTATGTTTGTCCCGACATTTAGAAGTGTTTGTCGCCTTCAAAAGTTGTAGCAGGGCCAAATACCTCTAAAAGCTAGGCTTTTGAAAAGCCGAAAAGCGCTTTTGAATAACATAAAAGCAGAAACTCCGATTTGGAGATTCTACAAAAAACTGTTTTGAAAATACAAGATTATACTTTTCATATTTTAATTTTATTTCATAAAATATAATTTCCTTCATTTATATTATTTTAAAAATAAAATAAAATATATAATCATATTATTTAATATAAAATAAATCTAACAAGATCCAGTTTGACTACTTTTTATTGTTTAGAATTTTTATTCATATTTTATATTACAAGTCCTTTATAGTCATTTTACACAACCTCTCATATTCAAAAGCACTTCTAATAGTTTTACAGCCAAATATTTAACTGCTTTTTTTGAAAAGTACTTATCTAAAAGCTCCAGCTAGAAGCTGCTTCTGCAAAAGTTACAGCAGGGCTAAACTAAGCTAATTTATCCGATTTGGGATTTGTCTAAAGTGTTACATACACCTCCCTCCCCCTTGGGACTCAACGTCCTCATTGAGTTTTACCCCACCATCGTTCAAGATGGACGTAGAGAGGCTTTGATGCCACTTGTAACATCCTGAACCTTTTCCGGATGAAGATATTGTCCGCTTTCGGAGTTCTCACAAGAACTTCTCCTTTTCACCCAAAAACGCGTCTTGTTAGTTAAGGTCGGTTTCTTACGGGCCCGGATAGAATAACAACACCCTAAGTGTTGTTATAATAACAACAGGGTAGAGGGGTAATTACACACCATCGGTGATAAAATAAAATTCAATAAATATATCATCCCTCGCGACCACCAGCAACAGCAGCGGCGTCTGGACCCTCCGGCATTCTTTCTCCGTCGACGGATTCGCGACCACCAGAAACAGCAGCAGCGGCCACAATCCCTCGCCGGCAATCGCTATCAATATGCGTGCAATTGATATGCGTGCAATAGTGGTGCGAGCTTCAGTATTCAGGGAGTGGGATTCCAGAATGGTTCACCTACAGAAGCGAGAAGGACAAGGATAGTTCGTGTTTGACGGTGCAATTGCCTCCTGCTAACCGCACTTGTAGCAAGCAACTAATCAGAGGAATTGCATTTGGTGTGGTGTGTTCGTCTCCTAATGTTTGGCAGTCTATGGATTGTGATTGCAAAATTGGCACCACTACGGTTGCCTCTTGGAGATGTTATGCTTGGTGGAATGTCACGAAGTCATCATCAGACTATGTGTTGCTATGGTTCGAATCAGGTGAGACAGAGCCCATGGAAAGAGAAGGAGAAGCATGGTATGTGAAATATGCAGGCCACACTGTTTCGTTCCAGTTCTACCCTGTTGGAAGAGATGGCAAGCGATTGAAGAAGTTGAAAATCAAAAGATGCGGGGTCAAGTGGTCGGCTGAGAGTTGAATGGGTAGGATTGGATCTATGCTTTTCAATTTGAGAATAATCGGAGCTCTCTGTTTACCAGGAAGGGAGTTTCATTGAAGGATTTTGATTGTAGACGTTTCTTTAGTTCCATTTAGGCTGCAGAATCAAAAAATTGATATTCAATTGGAAGCTTTGTGAATCGGTTGCTCCGGCGGTGGGACGAAGGTTAGGGAGACCGAATTTCCAAGACCAAGACACTGTTTGCTATATTACCCATCCTCCCTATATTTCAACTATTGTTGCTTGCTGTCTCCAACCTTCTTCCCTTTTCCCCGTCTCTCTTCCTTATCCAATCTCCTCACTTTTCTATCTTCTCTTCCATGGATCCGTTCAACCTTGCTCGTAAAGGTACGGTACTTCAAGAAATTGACATTCAATAGGAAGCTTTGTGAATCGGTTGCTCCGGCGGTGGGACGAAGGTCAGGGAGACCGAATTTCGAAGTAGATGCAGGGATAAAGCAGGAATTCATAAGCAAACCATAAACTTTCCAATATAGTCCACAAACACGGTAAAAAAAAAGCACGCCAGAAACCTTCGAATGCATACCATAAATCACCTGGAATAAACCAGAAACTTCACAAAGCAAACTACAAATATTTCACAATCACACCAGAAATCTCATAATCCAAACCACAAACACCGTAAAGCAAATCATAAAAAGCAAACCAAAAACCTCATAATGCATACCACAAATCTCCTAAAACAAACCACAAACCTCACAAAACAAATCACAACATTTGCAAAGCACACCAGAAACCTCATAATGCAAACCACAAAAACGATAAAGCAAACCACAAAAACAAACCAGAAACATCCTAATGCAGACCAAAATTCTACTAAAACAAACCAGAAACCCCGCAAAGCAAACCACAGAATTTTAAAAAACACACCAGAAACCTCAAAATGCAAACCACAAACACGATAAAGCAAACCAGAAACTTCTTAATGCAAACCACAAACACGATAAAGCAAACCACAAAAGGCATACAAAAATATGAGAAACCAAACCATAAATCTCACAATGCAGACCATAACATCCGGTGGTCGTTGACCGTTGACCGGTCAACAAAGTTCGTTGACCGAACTCCGATGACCGTCGGTGAGCAGATTCCGACGCCGATAAGCATATTCCGGCGACAAATAGCATATTCCGACGCCGATAGGCATATTCCGGCCGCGATGACTAGATTCCGACGCCGGTATTCCGACGATAAATAGCATATTCCGGCGGCAAAAAGCATATTTCGCTGATCGACGACCAGTTTCCGGCGACCAAAATTTTGGGCCGAAAATAAAAAATAATTTTTAATTTTTTAATTATTTAAACAGATTTTTCATAATGACAATTATACCCCTGCTTTGATTTTACACTAGGTCAACTCATCTAATAAAAAGTAATCACAACCCTAGCTTCCTATTGGTTGGAGACTAGTGTTGTTACAATAACAACAAATATAGTGTTGTTACCATATCCCCTCCCGTTTCTTACTTATGAACCATGGATCTCTCCCGTACTTTGTCGATGTGGGATTTTTCTAAAGTGTTACATACATCCCCTCCCCCATGGGACTCAACGTCCTCGTTGAGGTTTACCCCACCATCGTTCAAGACGGACGCAGAGAGGCTTTGATGCCACTTGTAACATCCTGAACCATTTCCGGACGAAGATATTGTCCACTTTAGGCCTCGACCCTCACGGTTTTCTACTTGGGGTGCAATTCAAGGTGACTTCTCGTAAGGTCATTCATCCTTGTTGTACTCCACACTGAGCACGTTTAACATCAGATTTATCACAAGAACTCCTCCATTTCACCCCAAAACGCGGCTTGTCAATTAAGGTTGGTTTCTTACTTATGAACCATGGATCTCTCCCGTGCTTTGTCGATGTGCGATTTGCCTAAGGTGTTACAAGTTTGTTGTGTCTTGAGCTGAGATTTGGATGATTAATCTCTCAATTACGTTTAACGGACAACAAATGACTTCCCCCGCCGACAGTGTAATTTTCAAGACAGCCTCTACGCCGCTTTCAAACCTAAATTTTGAGAGTGGTGGACAAATCTAGTTACCAAGGGGTAAGATTAGGTGACTAAGGTTGTTCCCTTAGTCACATGATTAAGACATATCCCGCAACTCATTTAAATTCTA